GGGCCACATTTATTTAATATCTTTGCTTCGTCTTTTCATGCTTCTTATATAAGAAGCAGTATGCAGACGATACAGTGATCTATAGACCAGGATATAGTCCTCATGATGCCCTTGACTTACAAAAAGATATTGATAAAAACCAAATGAAGTTAATTGTAAAAAGTGTAGAGTCAGGCCCATAACTAGAAAATTGAATTTACACCTTTTACTTATACAACTGATACCATCACCTTGAATTTGTTAGGTTACACAGATATTATTGTATTGAGTTTCCAGGTGACCTAACATGTTCAACCCGTGTTACTAATGTATCTATGAAATCAATAAATATTGTAGGGTTTATCAAATTGTTGGTTGGTTTAACGATATTTAAATTTTACATAGACTTTTTAATGCTCTTAGTCGTTTCATTATCAATACACTGCCCCTGTGTAGGATCCACTCCAAAACAGCATAAGATACTTATTACCAAGTCATAGAGATGTACATTAGCTCATGATTAGCTCAACCCACCCTCGATAAACTAACATTACGTTATCTCACTATATTAATTTGATTAACACATTATCGAGGATAAGAACTGAGTGTTTAACACTGGTGTCCTTGGATTCAATTATATGTAAACAGATTAGTTGCCTTTTTTATGAGGTTTTAATTGTTCTTTACCGCCGAAAGTGTGGTATTCTAACATTAGTTTAAGGAGGGCTGGTCGGCCTAATGGTAGTCATAGATCTAGGTTTATTGTTGAAGGCAGTTTTGCTGACAGGCTTAGAATCCATAAATTACCTGATATGGTTCAAAGACTGAATTCCAGAACATTATTTTTATTGAAATATGCTTGCATATTAGGTGATCTTGATATTTTGTAATACATTGTCCTTAATGTCTGATATCCAGAAACTTCCAACTTTAAACACAAGTATGGTAGAACTAATTTACAGTTAAATATTCTTTGTGAAATTTCTACGAATTTGGGTACAGATTCTTTGTGGTGGGTTTAGAAGAGTATTTATTAAATATGTTATCAGAAGCATCAAATTTTAGAATATTTTCAGATTTTTACCAACTACTTTTCTATTGTATTACCTACCGGTACTTGGGAAAGCTCCTCGACAGAATGCAATTCTGTGTACTGTTCACCCAGAACTATTGTACATTTTTCTATTTTCTTCTTTCCCCCAAGAATTGAATTTTTTTTTAAATTATAAAATAAAAATTAGCCTGTTTGGGCTGCTGTTGTTCCCTTTCCTGGGAACTGACTTTACACAGTCTGTGCTATTCATATTTAAATTTACTACAAGTAGGTCATTGCATAGTTGCCAACTTATACGGATTGACCGTGAGCCTCACGGATAATTTATCATTTACCAGTTTTACTACGGATGAACAAAAATTCACGGATTTCATGGTTACTCACGGATCAAGATTTTTAAACTAATAAACAATGATTTGCGAACTGCATATACAGTAAGTAATATGCAATAAATAGTTCTTTTGCCATTTGTCTGTAATGTTTGTTTGTTTATTTGTTTTCCACATGAAAGTACTGTCTGTACATCGTGATTCATGAATAAAGTGAGTCCGTAAAAATTGTTTTAATTTTACACCAGGCAACTGTCGGGTACTCATCCTAAGTTTACAGTACTGTACTTTGGTCAAATTTAAATGTCTATAACTTTTTGGTTTTATTAAGTTTACATACATACACTTGACTTAATTTAGTGTCCAAGATCAATCAAATCAGTATTGAAAATGCTTAGATTGGAAGCGTCGAAGGCTTGTCAACCTGGGCCCCGGAGCTCCTCCCCCTGGCCCCAGCCAGTGGCACGCTAGTCACGTTGCTATGCAACGCGAGTTCTCACAGATTTCTTTTTTGAAAAGTTGGCAGCTATGCATTGCCAGTGGTACAGTACACCCAAGATGAGCTATTGAGTTTGAATACAAGGACACTGTTAATGGAAAATACATTCAGAGAATACATATTCATTCATTCATTATTCATTATGGTTTATTCAATAAAAATTGACATGGCAACATAAAACGTTGAATTGCGTCAACTTACAAAAGATTCTCATAAAAAGGTTACTAAAAAAACACGCAAACACGATCACAAAAGGGGCATTGAGGCAATATACAAAAGATGGCAAAAATACAATATCGAAAATACATTATTTACAATTAAATTAATCATCAGATAATATATACACAAGCAATATTAAAGGCAATTAGATGAGATTGAAGCACTTTGGGCTCGTTCATTCTTATGTTATTACCCGTTAGCCTCGTTCATATCCAACTATGGCGAGATAATTTTAGTGGATGAGCTAGATGAAGTATGGCGAGATGAAGGCTACAACTCGACTAAGCCTGTCGAGTAAATTTATGTCGACTAACTTCTTAATCCAGCCTAAAGCCAGTAAACAATTAAACAGCGGGTGGCCACAGGTCACGAATACACCAATCAAATTGAAGCAAAGTGACCTTCCATGCTTGCTGGTGAGCGCGTTTTTTAGTTACTGTCATTAACACCATTCAGAATTGACGCAGTCTCCCTGATCTGTGTACTTTAATTTCAACAAGTCTTATTTTGCAAATGATGGCCAAAAATTCAGTAAAGAAACGCCATCTCTGGACGTATGCGCAGGAATATTTAATAGATATCAGGAGGGAGCCAGAAATCGCCGAAAAAGTTGAAGATAAATTGTATCGTCAGGAGGCTGGTGTCCACGAAAGGATAGCAGAGAGAATGCGGGATTAGGCCACAATAGCATAACATAAGATAAGGTAAGATAAACATCGGCAATTGTTGTGACAAAGTTGAAAAATCTAAGAGCAGAACACAAGGCTGTGAGAGATGTTTTTATTCGTGGGATGGGCAAGGGGTCGGCCAATGTAATAAGGGATGACCCGAAGTCAGCATGCCCACACTACCATGCACTAAAACGAAATACTTGGGGGAAAACACAGTGTAAACCCTCCAGCTGGACTCCTCGGCCAGTCTAATCAACCACCGAGACCTAGGCCTAGGCCTAGCTTACGCCTATAGTCTCGATCTAGCATAAACTAGTCGCGCGAAAATCAACAGTAATTGTCCACCATGCGATTGTACTTCCTGTCTAATGATGTGTTTTCCGAATTTCTGGTAGTCAAAATATCTCGCTCTAAACCTTAACGTCGAACGTGATTAGTGGATTTAATCCAATTAACTTGGCAAGTAGATCAGCTACTTCATCTGGCTATAATCCCATATGAACCTAGCTATAGAATGTTAGCGGGAATATAATTCGAAGGTAGTATGAACTGGGGTAATTAAAAAAACATCTGGCCGAAAAGCAGGTTAGCCAACCCACCAAACTTGCCGGTTAAAAGTTGCCCGAGGCGAATCCTCGTGACCTCGGTGATGACATTAATGACTTTTACAGGCCTAGGCCTACTAACGAGGGATGTCCAAAATAGGCCTACCTCATGCTGCGAGTGCAATAAGGGTCCTCCCAAGCATTATTCCTATTCCTTTTCTCTCAAAAAGAGTCAACACGTGCATTGCTCCTACGCCGCAAAATGATATTTTATTTAACTTTATTTACTCTGGACTTCGCTATTCCCCTAAAATGAATAGGAAAAAATGTCTGGACAGATTCAAGAGGCAACATTCGCCCTGATAAGTGTGTGGAGG